GCTAGGGGTTGGAGGAGCTCCCAATATCCCCTGCTCCCTCCACCCCAGCCCCTTCTCTGCTCCCAGAGCTAGAAAAAAACCCAGGTGTCCGGGCTCCCCTCCCCAAAAAATAGCTCCTCTGGGCAGGCGATGGCATTTTGCTGCTCTAATCCACCCCGGCCACGTCCCCTGCAATGCCGGCTGCCTCCGTTCTTCTCAGCCACTGACACGTCCCACCCCAGAGCCAGCTGCATCCCAGACCAGGGGAGGGGGAGCTCTCGGGGGTAGGGTTTGAACCCATGTCTTCCTAGCCTGGACAAACCTGGCCTGGTCCAGCAGGACCCTGCTGTGCCTTGCAGCCAGCTCTGGGGTGGAGGCCTGGCCATTGGCTGAGCGTAACGGGGTCAAAGCAGGCCCCGAGGATGCTGCCAACCCACCTCCCCCCACAGTGGATCCCCCAGCCGGTGGGATCCCACCTCCCCACTCACTGGGCACGTAGATCTCCCCCCTTTCCTCATCCGGGAGCTCACTCCAGTTCCTCTTCCCGGTGGAGATGCAGGATTTCTTCACCAGAAAGGCCCGAGGCATGTCTGATCTGGTGGGAGGGGGATCCCCTTTTGGACCAGGCTAGGGGGATCCGGTCAGTGCCTCTGTGCTTCTGGCCTGGGATCTGGTCTCTGTCACCCCCTTTTCCTCCCAGGTGGGGGGATCTGGTTACATTTGCTGGGTTTCTGGGCTGGGATTGAGTTGGGGTTGATCTGGTTAGGGGGTCAGATTTGCTGTTTTGGAGCTGGGATCTGGTTGCTTTTGATCCTTTTCCCTCAGGCTGGTGGTGGGGATTCAGTCCCTTGCAGCCCTTTGGGGATGGGGGGATCTGGATCCCGGGCTGCTGGAAGGCAGCAGGTGAGCGCGACTCGTTTCACTCCAGCTCCAGCCTGGAGCCTGGCTCGGGATCCGGTCTGTGCCCGGGGATCCAGTCAGTTCCTTCCCCCTTGGTTGTCCAAATGGGGGGGGGCGTCCTGCTCACTGTCCCTTCCCTGGGTCGCCAAGCTGGGATCTGGTCCCTTCCAGTGGGTCCCAGAGCTGGGATCTGGCAGCAGCGGAGATCGGGTGGGTTTTGCCCCCTTTTGCTCCAGGCTTGATGGGTAAGGGGGATCCAGTTCGGCTGGCTGCGCCTTGGCAGGGGGTCGGGTCCGTTTCGCCCCCTTGTCAGGCAGAGCAGGGGGGGATCCGGTGGCTCTCTGGGATCCCGCGGGGAGCCGGTCGGGTCCGCTGCCCGCGCTCCGGTGGGTTTGCTCCGTCTCTGCCGGGCGCGCGGGCTCCCCGCCCGCT